ACAAAATTGAACTAGCTTAAAAGATAACATGTGGCCATGGTTAGTGTGCAAGCCAGGGAGTTAAGCCCAGAACATACATCTTCTGGTCTGAGAATAAGTGTACGAAACGAGTCAGGCCTTATTTCCCTAAGTTCCCAACCAAAAAGGAGGAGAGTGGTCAGTGCCTGTGGAAAAGATGTAAAAATTCTGAGACACTGCCACAAACATTTTGATTACATCTGCTATATTCTTTTGGGTAGACGTGTTCCTGCTGCTCCTATTGCACAGTGCAACACAATCCTGGTGTACTTTGCATTAATTTGTTGCAGTTAACTGATACAAAAGAGAGGGAACACGAATATTGCCTGCAGGACCCAATGAATTACACTTAACCAGCATATTACTGGAGGGTGATGGTAGACTGCCACATGAACACAGATATAATCAAATTCTGTTTGGGGCATCATTTATTTAAAATACTTCAAGCTCCTTGACTGTAGAGCAACAGCAAATTATCATGCTATGCTGTGCACTTCAATTAAGCAGCAGCCTCATCTTTCCTATTTCCAAGGTACAGTGGAGCAAATCCAATTGTGCCATGCAGCCAGCTTTCATCTCTGTAGACTAACCAGAGCTTTTGGTTCGATTTGGTTTTTGTTGCTGTTGTTTTTAACAGATTCTCCTTCTTGTGAACAAGGCAATGTGGGCTTTTCTGAATCTTGCCTCCTAATTGCAGGCAATAAACATAAACATAGTTAGCAGCAGAGGCTGTGACAACTAGAGTTTAAGTAAAATGAAAATAAAGGTAAGAAAACAACTACAAAGCAACATCATTTTGTATATGTTCTGAATAGTTAAAAAACTATGATCTATATTTTAGTGCTTATGAGAAATATATTTCTCCTTCAATATAAATTTAAAAAGCAAACAGTCCTCCAAATCTATAGCTTAAATGCTGAGATATGCAAATATATTGGAGGGTTAAAAGGCATGACTAAGGAAATACTTATAAGCCATGATGTTATTATTTTAATATTTGCTTATAGCAAATCTCTATTCTTGCACTTAGGCTGAGATCTCTGAATATGAGAGACTAAAAAGAAAAGTCCAGAAGCATCTTCTGTGCTTTGGTAAGTTCAACTGATGTATTGGTTTTCACTTGAGCTCTCCCTGCCACTGACCATCATGCCCTACCATGCCCAGGTGAGTACATGCACTTACCATTATCCACTGTTCCTTTCCCATCTCAGGTATAAACAATGCAAGGCTTTCAGACAGATTTAGTGTGGTGAATCCACAGAACAACAGAAACTGAGCTGGAAACATCTTCTGGAGACTGTCTCGCTCAGGCCCAGGGCCTGGCGACACTGCACAGGCTGAGCCAGGGCTTTGCCCACACCAGCCCTGAAACCCTGGGCATGGAGAGCACAGGACCTCGCCAGGCAAGACGTTCTTGAACTGCTTTATCCTCCTACCTGGGGAGGATTCCCGACTTCTGGACCAAAATTAAAAAGCCAAACACAGACATCCACAGTTTTAAAATCATAGCATTGGTCCTGAAGGTTCAATATCATTTTTAGAAGTATATGCTACAAAATAAAGATTTAAAGATTCTTTGTTCCCAGTGAAGAGATACAAAGCTCACCACAAATACAGTAATAACCTGCTGTCTACCATATTGTCTTTCTGCTTATTATTAAATGTTTTGTACACTCACATTATCTGATTCAAAGAAAATCTGTGCATTAGTATTGCTTAACTTCATGATAAAAATTCTCACAATTTTTAATGGTCTACAGCTACGGTTGCACACTGTTCTGAAAGAATACGCATCTTAACTTTATTATCATTAATCAGCATTAGTAAATATAATTGACATTTTATACAGAACCAGCTTTAAGTAACTTATTGGCAGAAATACAGATGCATCTTTAATATTACCCTCTGGCTAGCTATGCTGTTCAGGCGCCACAGTGTCTGCACTAATGATTTGAAATTAAAATCAAATAAAAGCTGAGAACTGTAATGCAGGACAAAACAAGCAGGCACTTTTAGTACCAGTTTTTTATACATCTTATTTGGATGTATCTGGAATTTTAAAAAAAATACTGTGGTATGAAACAGTGGAAATGCTTGAGAGGAGATAACAAAATGGAATAGAAAAAAAGTGAATCTAATGTTCCCAGATTTCTACACTTACCCTTAGGCAGACCATAGGAATTGAAATGAGGAGCAAAAGTAGACAGCGCAATTAACCTTTCTTTTCCTTTTTTCTTTTTTTTAAAGCAGAACATTTTAGACATTAAAAATAGCAAAAGTGCACATACATGTATTTCTGCCTTTATTTTTCATCTCACTGATTTCTGTACTTTCCTGAGGATTTAATGTGCTTAGGCATGAAAAGGGACCTAATCCCTAAGAAATTTTCCTATGAAGATCTGGATTATGTTATCAAAAAGATTTAAGAAACCCTGCTTCACTGTACAAAGAGGAAAGCTCTGCTGCCTCTCAAAGCCTCATGCTCGGTTGTCGAGGCACTGAATACTTTTTTAGCAGAGCATACATGAGCCCTCTCTTCTTCCCATTACACATATACCACCTGCTTCATTTCAGCTCTGGAAAAGCGGGTATTAGGAGCTAAGGCAAAGAACATCCCAGCACTTCCCTGGTTTAGGAATGGTCTCCAGGGGACTCCACTTGCGGAACTTTCCATGAAGAGCACCAAGAGATGTCCTAGCACATAGTGTTATTTTATCCACTTTATTCCCAGCCTTTGCTTCAGCAAACTACATTTAAAGCCACTATAATTTGTCATGGTCAACTCTTGAGAAAGAACCTCTGGATTTGGCCCTTCAAAGATCACTTGTTTTATTTATTTATTTGTCTAAAGAACTGAGTTCTGTTCTCTGAGCTCTCATTTTTGGTAAGGAAGTTAAAAGACAAAATACATTTAAGTGACAGCAGTATATATAAAACATTCAAAAGAATATCCATATTGCATGGGAAAATGAGAAATACTATTATTATACAAACACATATTTATATACAATGTAATCTTCTTGCTTTATAGATCTCCTCCAAGGAGAGTCACAAATCCACACGATAGCCCTGAGGACTCAAATTCTGCATTTGGTTCTCTAATTTTACAGTAGCTGAAAAATATGTAAAAGCTCATGTAGCCAGACAGCTCCCTACTGACTACACATCTAAGCAACTTCATATATATATATATATATTATTCCAACCAGTGCAGGTTGGAAATAGCATATACTTTAAATAAAAGGCAAAGAAAAGAGCTTGAAATGAGCCTATTTCAGTTTCCATGCGATTCCCTGAGGGCTCTTCCCTAAATCATACCTTTCCACAGGGTTTTCCCATCTCATGTGGAGACAACCCAAACTACTGAGCTATACCATGGAGAGGGAAGGACTTTCCCATCTCATGTGGAGACAACCCAAGCTATACCATGGAGAGGGAAGGATGGGAATTGCTTCACAAACTGATAAAAGTGGCTATTACAGCTGATTGTTGTTAAAAACACTTCGAAAAAGAAACGAAAAAGAAAAAGAAAAAAAAGAACAACAACTATTAACATCTTCCTAGAATGGTCTTGAAGGCTTTCTGTGATTTTTTTTTCTCTACCCCTCCTAATAAAAACTTTGGAAAATGACCATTGACCATGAAAAGCATCTAGGCTACTTCCATTACAATAGTAACTTACAGCTGGGAATCAACTGACATACTTTTGCCCCCAGAAAATAATAAAATTCTCATGCACCAGGCCTAACAGTAACATTATTATGATAAAGATTCAAGAGAAGTGTGTCCAGGTCTATTTTCCACTGAAATCATTACAGCTCCTATTGCCTCCCTGATCAAGTTTTACAAAGTTAACAGCTTAGTTATCCAACCACACCTCGGTTCTCAAACGGTCTGGGCCAAGCCAAGGAGAGAGGAGGAATTAAGAGGTCTGCTAGTCCCCACCGAGGGCATCAGCTGAATGGCATAATGGGTGCCTATTAGGGGATGTAATTGTGATCCCCATGATGCATCTTCCTCCTCCCTCTCTCTCCTGTTGCCCCAAACAGTTTTAAGATGGGAAATCACACACTTGGAAACCAGGATTTGCCAAGTCAGTGCCTGAATACACAAACTCAGATCAACTGTCTTCTTGTTTACCTGAAACCCAGAAGATTCAGTCTTTGGAAAATTTAAAGGTCAATCTGCAGAAAATATTTCCCAAGAGACTAGGTGAACCAAGATTTCTCAGAGACTTATTAGATTACCACACTTAGGCATGTTTCTGAGCCCAAATAAACTTCAAGGCTATGGGAAAACACACAAAAATCCGAAAATTTATCCTAAATAAATGCAACAACTGTTTTTTGAGAGTGTTTGTTTTTTCATGGGGAAAATAAGACAGTTTCTCCTAAGTAATGTCACGGCAAGTATTCAAAAATCCTGCATCAGATTTCAGCATGATAGAGACATGGGGGATGGATAATGACAGTCCAAACTGTACACAACACGGTCTTATAGCAGGAAAAGGTAACTGCAGGTGGCACTACCAGAATGCCTGCCACATTCTGCAATCCGGAAATACTGTTAGGTTCAAATGCTAAAAATTGTACAATGAAACATGTGAAATGTGTCTATATCTCATGTCTTTCAAAATCATTATTGATACATGCAGTTTGCACTGCGTCGTGATCTGGAAGATATCCACAGGGCACTGCAGTGGTAATCACCAAGCTCTGTCCAAGCAGGTTTGGGAAATTATCTGCTTTACTATTGTTTCCTGTCAAATACATAATGCATTTTTGTTCTCAGCAAATCTAAGCATTTTGTATATTCGTAGCTTCTATCATTTTCCACTTCCAGCAATAAATATTTAAACACTTTCAACCCCAAAATCTCAAGCTAGGAACCTGCCGCTTGTGTCCTCCCCCCGCGGTGCCACTCTCCGTGCACCAGCACAAGATGCTCTAGGGACAGGGACAAGGCTGCTGCGGGAGCCCTACCTGCCCGCAGGCCAGGCCCATGCCTCTCTCTCCCATCCCATGGGGACACGACAAATTCAGCTCCAGGGCGTCTGCACCAGCCACCTAAGAAACGTGCAAAAGGAAAAAAAATACATAAGCCCAAGTAATGAACTCTTTCACTGTAGCACTAACTGTTCATGTCGAAGAGATTTTTAGGTGCTTGATTTATTAAAAAAATAATATTTCAGAAAAAGCTGCTGTTACGATAGCCTGAAAATCAAATGTGTTGATTATTATCAAGAGAAGAACATTCAAGAATTGATGTTGCTTTCCAAAGGGAAAATAGAGTAAAAAATAATGAGAAAAGAAACAACAACATGGTAAAAGACAACCATGATAAGGGCTTTTTTTTTTCCCTGCAAAATGTTAAAAAATGAAATGCATAATAGGGCCTAACTGAAGCCATGAGAGGAAGGCTCAGCAGTTAGTGTTATACAGGTAGCTTCTATGCTCTGAAGAACTGTAATTCTTAGTAGTATTTTTCTCCTTTTTGCTTTAATGGATTTGGCCTCTCCATATCATTTGTAGATGCCTGTGCCACAGCTTCTGTAGCTAAGTAGTTTGTTTCTGCAGTCTGCCAAGGCTACTAAAAAAAGCCCAAGCAAACATATTAAGTAGGTTAATTCCTCTTCAGCACCCTCTATTAGGCAAAACTAAAGAGGAAAAGCTGCTGACGTGCAGAAGGGCAGCACACAAACACATCTCCCTTCCTCCCTGCAGGACTGCTGCTGCCCAGGAGGAGGATCTCTCCCTTGGCTTCCTATTTGGCTGCCACTCCTATTTTGTTGTGCATTTGCATTTGTTTTTTTCTTATTGACCTGACGTACTTTTGCCTGCTGTGTAGCCACGGCGCCATGCCCGTGCTATCGGCCTCCGTGACAGGCTGACCTTTCGGACGAATAGGTCGTCCTCCTGTGGAGAGGGACCTCGGTGCCTTCCGGGGCTCGTGCTCTTTGCAAAGCCACATCTATTACCTGCTGGAGAGGGTCTTACACGTGTGATAAAATATCACTGCTCTCCAAGCAGATTCCAGAGTGCCCCAGCAAGTGTGACCCTATGCACAAAGGCAAGATTATTTGCTGAAGAAAGTTATATTACATATATGGCACATTATTAAATGCATTAAAATAATGAATCTTTTCCAAAGGGGTAATAAATGCAAGCACAGATTGAAAGTACCTGCCTTAAAATTAGGTAGCAGCAGCACTGTACTAAAAAAAGGAGCACGTGGCACGATAAAGCCATTCATCACAGTCAGTTTAAAAGCAGTAGAGCTCATGTCAAGCATGGATTCCACAAAAGATTTCATGGTCAATTAGGTAAATACAGGTATAAAATGGACTAGCGTTGAAGATCACAAAGCCAATTACTGATGATGTTTAATTTCGCTTCCCTAAGTCCCCAAAGTGATTTTTTCCCTCACAGGTTTAAAATGTCCAAAGAAAACAGAGAAGCGTCTTCCCGTATTACCATGAGAGGCTTTAAAACGTTGGGAATAAAGAAGAAAGGGCATCCAAACACATGTACACATGCAAATAGAAACATGATTTCAAAACATCTAAGCCCATAATTATACATAGACACACACATATATTTATATATGAAATATATACACATATGAAACATATGTAAAATATGTATCTGTACAATATTTATAGAACACAATACCAAGGTTAAGGTAACAATAATGATAAGTCAATAATTTTTTCTTTATTGTCTGTTAAAGCCTTCCTTTAATGGCCTGAAAATATGCATTTTATTTCCTCTAGGTATTTTGATCTGTGATGAAATTTTCTTTAAAACAAACAAACAAACAACTTCCTGTTATATGTGGATATATACATATTTCTGAGTGATAACATCACTCTCTTAATTGACTGTTTCTTATAGTATTCACTATGTAACGTTTTATACTTTTTTTTTCTCCCCCCTTCAAAAGATTTCAGAATCAAAGTTTCTGGTGTAGGGTCTGTTTGCATTTGTCTAAGACTGGATTTATGTTATAGGAAGCCTGCTGACTGCTATTACATACATTGGCTTTCTCTCCTATCATTTTTGAAAGTCTGTATTAAAACTGGAATAGCATTAAATGAGTCTTTTATACTTTAAATATTGAAGAGTTTTATATTCAAAATTTCTTCTGGTGCTGTCAAACTAGTGTGCCTGTAGGCAAGGTAAGATCAAGTTAAGCTCTCAAAGGTAGAATTAAATTTTATCAGGGCATCCGTCATAATATACAGTTTGCTTAAAATGCAAATAAAAAGCATATAGATTCAAAGTCTTAAGGCTTTCCAGGTACTGTTTAAAAATCCAAGGGACCATTTTTACAGAATAGATTTCCTTTAAATTTACATTCCCATCATTTTAATGAAATCACAGAATAAACAAATTATAATGGACATGTTTTAAACTCTCATTTTGCACTCTGAACCTATTTCCTTCAAGAAATTTCTTATTATATTTAAGAAGAATAAGAAAAGACAAAAATAATGAAGAAACACAATTAGGAAAACATTACCTCAGCCATTTTTGAAAGTTCAGTCCAGTCACTCTTGCTATAGGTGCTCATGATACTGGCAATTAGAATCTGAAAGGAAGAAATACACAGTTACTTTAAACTGTGTTACCAGATTTTGCATGCAAAAATTCCAAACATTAACTATCTGCATAGTTAACATAATTACCTGTATATGGGAAGCAAGGCACCGGAGATGAAAAAATGGTCTAGGAGGTCACCCATTTTGTCAACACCAAGTCGCTAAGGAAAACTAGCAGCCTATTCAAACATATAGGAATTCACAAACATATAGGAATTCACATGGGATGTGATTAAATGGGAACAAAGGCAGTTGGAGGCACAAAACTAACGACAAGACGAAGCTGGTTTTTAGCTTGAAGGAATATTTAAGTTCTTTACTATTTATATAATACTGGGAGTGTTTAGGGCTCCTTAGAGAAACTGTCATGGGAGGAAAGCAAAAACATATTTGGCCATACTTGTTTATGAAAGTTTTAATTTTGCTTCATAGGTAGGATGAGATTAGTTTGAGTCTTGTTCTTCCAAACAAGCTTCACAATCTGCATTAATATCTGCAATGAGCTTATTCTTTCCCTTCCAGTCTGTGTAACACTTCTCTTGAACTTTCTCATAATGTTAAGGGCTAATGACTCATTCATAGATGGAAGAGTATTTAAAAATCTGGTCTATAAAACTCATCCAACACATCTTTTGGGAGCTGTAAACTCCCAAATTATCTCCAGAAGAAATCTGATATATTTAATATCTTCAGAAAGAAGGAGAATATACTTTGAAAGGGAAGGTAGTTATGGAGAAAAGCAGGTATGCCTAGGTTACAGTACATTCATTTAAAAGGACAACACAACTTGTAACTATCATTGTGTTCCAGTACTTGCGTTGCTTTGATGAATCTCTACCTATCAAACACCACCCACCGAGCTACAAACTATCTAGGAAAGCCCCCTTTCTGACTGATGTCTGCAAGAGGGAGGTCTCCTGGAAAGGAAAGCATGTGAAGAAGCCTTGCTATGAGGTACCCCTTCCTTTGCATTGTCTCTGGCATAAATAGTTTTTCATTAGATCCACATGATCTTTCCTGGCTGTGATTTTATTCCGTGCTTGAAAGAGGAAAAGCTTGTCACTTCTATACAATCCTTTCTCTACTGCAAACAGCCTTATATAGCTTTATACAAATGCTTATGAAATAGAATTTGCTCTATTCAATATTCAAGGTAACTTGGCTACACAGGAAAAAATAAACAAAAAGAATAGAATGTTTTTAAAGACATTTATAAGACCTACATCAGAACATTTCATTCTGAAAATTCATTTTAAGACAATCTATATGAGAAAATTCGGAAGCAAAAAAAGTACTTAAATTACTGCAATATCTGGCAGTTTACTAGAAACTATATCTTCTGCAAATTTACACTTTTTGTAGGGGGTAACTAAAGGAAACAAAAGGAGGGTAACTAAAGGAAACTACTCAAATCCTAACAACATGATAAGAATTTCCACAGTTAGTCACAATGCAAATTGTATCAAAATTCAGCTGCTATACAAACCAAATTTTTCATCAGGGAAAGCTGCGGGACATCCAGGGTGACCAACCATAAGTACAAGTAGCTGAGCAAGGCTCTGTCAAGTACTACTAATGAAATTTGAAAAATCTGCTGAGACGGTACAAAGGAGGAAGAACAAGATACGTGATACTTCAAAGAGCTGCTAATTAAGATAGCATAATTTTAAATACTGATTCCCATTCAAATTTAAAATTAGGCATATATACTTGACAGAAGCAGTGTACAGTGTTTACAGTAACAAAAATGATTGAAAGAAAAAAAAATTAATTTCTGCTGTTAGCATGAAAACCAGGATCTCAGAGGGGATAATATATACATATTTTAAATAGGCATTTAATTCTCTTTGTATTCCCCAATGTTCTCTTATAATTTGAAATGAACCTTAATTCATACATGGAGGCAAATCCCCCAGCCCTCCACGTTAACTTCCTTAAGCAGCTTTTCTCCCACCAAACGTCACATCGGCCTTGCCATTTGGTACCAGGGACCTCCCCACCACGAATCAGCTGTGGGCCTGTACATGTGCTGCCTCTGAGGCAGGAGATTTGAACCTCCTCCTCCTAAAATTAGATATGGGAGGTTATGAAAAAAAATGGGATATTACCATACTTAACCTCCTAGAAAGCAAACAGCAAAAGACGAGAAGCAATAAAAACTGATAAAAGTCACAGGGTATACTGTGATTTAAATTTAATCAATTTATAATATTTCAGCCTGTCCTCCCTATTCTGTTTAGCCTTTTTGGGCACAAGTGCCAGCTTTTCCAAAGCATCCCAACATGGATGGCCGGGAGCTGTGCGCCCTGAGCGGCGGCTCCCGATGGCCCTCGGGGAACAGCAGGCTCTTCGTGCCCCAGCCTTGCACAACGCGACACGGAACTTCGCAACGCTCATGGGGAGGGAACTGCAGCCCTGCAACATCAGACACTGTATCCCTACAGGATTTTCGTCATCACTCATGGAAGAGTGTCTAAAAAAACGCTTTTGGGAGTGGGGGGAATGACGATGGAAATGGGAGGTATATAATGTACCATTTAGGACGTGATTATAAGATGAATATAGTGTAGCTAAAGCACCTAGTAAAAACCTCCATTTCACACAATTCTGTAACTAATGCATTACTAGTTGTTCTACTTAAAAGGCACTGACAAGGTACTTCTCATAATCCTTAAAATATTTTTTCTCCCTGTATATAATAATCCCCTGGAAGCTTAAACTAGACTCTATTTCCCTTGCGATTTTTTAATTTCATTTCTATTATCTTTACAGGAATGTCTCAGGAACACAATAGCATGAAAAAATAACAGAATAAGATTCACCAGTGCATATGTTTTAAAGTGACATTTCTCCTCTATCATTGACAATGCAATGGGTTTCAGAACAAAAGGATGGAGAGAAAAAAAATGACAGGACCTACGTTGGGTCAGACGGTTCTGAGAACATCTGTTTAAATGAGGAGAGCAGTAAAACCGTAGGTAGACAATTTGTCCTGTACTGCTCTGGAGGGACTAAGGGAGCTCCAGTACATTCAGAGATTTTGAAAACTCTCAAGAGGCTGGATTTAAATATGAACGCTGACAGCTCCTGCAAAGTTAAGAAAACTTCCAAACAATCCCCAAGCAATTGCAATCATCCATTCTCGTGCCAATAATAACCGTATTTTTACAGCCTTCCAACACCGGCCCTTAATCCACATCTATTCCTAACCTATTCTTGCAGATCTGCACATAATCTCCCTGCATTTAAGCAAATCCAGCCGCCCCAACCAGCGCGGCCCTCACACTGGCTTGATTAATTTTCAGCTTGAGGTAAGTTCTGCCCCAAGCGTCAACAGATGTTCCGTGGAGACACCGCTGCCGCCTGCAACCTGCGCCTCATTCTGCATGCAGAAGCGCTTGCAAAAATCCCCAGGATTTTGTATCTGATTTGCAAACTCCTTGCAGAAATAGGAGGAGACAGTGAATATTTTCACTAAGAGAATGTTCCCCTGAAAGCTGTAAAATCAAGAGTTTTCAAGGAGGCAGAAGGACTGGTTTTGTAACTTACCTGCTTGAGAAGGAAAGACGTGAAAAAGGGCAATTGCTGTTTATAGATAGAATCCAGAGATTGAAGACTATCTTAAGAAATGGACTTCTAATATCTACAAAATTATTCTAAATTGATCTAAACTTCAGGAAACATTTGTGTTTGGATCAGACAGAAAGACTGCTATCTTCAGTTGAAGAAGTTTTTCTTACTCCTAAACATCACAGTACAGTCTTGCCACAGGGTCTGGTTGGTCTGAACAGAACCAAAGACACTCCACCAAAAGCCATGAGGAGGAAGAGGTCCAGCACTGAAGGTTTACTCTTTCGAAGCTAATAGCAGAAATAGCAGATTGAGTTCATCAGGCACCACGGGAAAAGATACCTACAGCCTCACAAGGACATCTGGAGAGGGCAACTTTAGGCAGCTGAATCTTTATTTAACAGCACTAAATTTCCTCTGCGTGCAAGAGGACCATGTGCAGGGAGTCCTGACCTGGCCCTCTCTCTCCCTAACCAAGCTTCATGCCAAGGGACCTGCACCCGCTCAGGGATGACGGCAGCGCAGCTGGCGGAAAGTTAATAAAGGAAAATTTACTGGGCAATCCTTGGCTGTTTCACTGAGCTGATAAACAATCCTTGGTTTGTATGTATCTAAATGAAAAACACACATGACCATATAGACATACTACATTTTTTTCATTATATGAACAAAACATACAGACTCTAAGCCAGATTCTTCCCTATCCTATAGGTCTTAGTTGCAAAATAAAACCACCAAGGAATAGAAAGGAACATTTTAGGTTGCATATAGACTTTCTAGGCTTGTACTGCTAGCCTCTGTAAGTCTGACTCTAAACATAAACGCAGTTATGCCACGTTTGGCCAGAACAAATATTCAGCTCAATACCACCTATGCCACTACTATAGCTGTAGTCCTCTGTTTCTTCCAAATGGACATTGGTTGATGAAATGATCACTCAAAGTCATCCTTCTTCCTTCATCTACTTCATCTGACTTCCTAAGGAATTTTTTTCCTACATAAGCTCTGTGGAAAAAAAGCTGCACTTTTTAGACACATACTGCTGCTTTGGGCAAGAGAAAATTCACCCCGAAGTGTTTTGCTGAGCCTGGAGGGCCACGCTGGATAGTCTCTATTCTGCACAGCTCTGTCTGCCACATTGCACCACAGCGGCAGTTCCGCCTGCTTGGGCTGTGCCACTGCAGAGACCCCGCGACACACGAGGCCACGCAGCAGGCGCGATGCTACTTAAAATCAATTAGGATCTTAGAAGACTGACAAGCAGTAGTAAATGTTTGTCATTCAGTAATTATTTGGGATCTCCTTTAACTTGGGAGAAGTCAGATTCCTTGTTTCAGCAAAGAGCAAACAACTGTGCGAGCAGTTGTGTGTGCAGCCACAGCCGCGCGCACAGAACCTTCCAAACGCGCGGCTCACGGGA